CCAGAATATGAGGTGATATTACATAGCTGATCAGGTACAGCTGCATATAGGGTTTTTTTATTAAATTATATAAAAAGCAAGAATAATTGGGCATAACCTTGTATACTTGTAAACATCATCAAGAATGTAAAATGTCTGCAAAACAATGGGATTCATGGCAACTGAGTACTGTGGAATCTGACATTCACAATTATACTCCAGTTTCTGGCCTTAGTCTGACAGTTCATTATGTCATGATGACTCTAAACTGAGTTATACACAGTTGTGGAGGTGAAAAACTCTTTCTCATTCTATCATAATTCTTGTTATAGACTGTTAATTTTGAATAGGACAGTTACCAACTCTTTTTCCATAAAAGCAGGAAAATTCTAGAGGGAAAGATTATTCTTAAAAATTAAAAGGATTTAAGGAAAAGTTCTTATCTTCTGCAGAGACAAGACAAATCTTTCAAGAATGTTCATGCTGCCTGTGGATAGAAGAGAAATTGTATTTGACTTAAAGTATTATAGCATTCTTCCTCACTATACTTTTTTGTGAATGTAACACTGATGAAAGGTGAAGGGTTGTAGCCTTTGAATTCCTCTTAATAGAGATGAGACACACAGCGTGAGAAATAAGAGTTTTAGATACACTGCTCTGCCTTGATATTCTAATCTCTGCTCACGCGAAACCTTGAGATTTGACATTTGTCCATGTAGTAGAGAAGCAAGTCTATGTATTACATTTGTGAACATGTATGTGAACATAGCCATAATCAAGTAAAATGGAAAATCAACTCTCTGAGTTTGCCAGGTACTGAACATGCTTTGTATGACTAGGTTGTTGAGTGAAATGCAATAAAACTGGAATCACAGATTTCCCTGACTGCAGTTTATGAACACTGTGCTTGTACATGTAGAGACAGTAGGAGATGAACTGAAAGCCATGTTAAGATTTAGATTTAAACCTTGAATTCCACACTGTACCTAACCCCAATAGGTAACCAATTCATCCTCCTGGCATGGCAACCAGTAAAAGCCGAATCCCAATGAATCCCAAAAAACAAATGAGAGTTATAATGTGTAGTACAATCTCTGGTAACCTGAGGCAATACATTTGGTTTCCCACCTTGAGAAAGATCAGATTTTATAAGGAGTGTCTAATGATGATTTCTCTAGATGCTATCAAGTCAACTTTCAGATGAGACCAGCACATTCAAAATCTCATGGTGCCTAATGTAAAGACTGGGAATTGTAAAAAGGAATGGGCAGTGCTAGTCCTCATTACACCACCACAGTTTACTGAGATAGGGTGCATTTTCCTATCATTTGGAAAGCATTAGCAGGGAGTCGATGACACCTTTCTGAATCACCTGCCTAATGGTGGCTCTCACAGGAGCTGACATTTGCTGTAATCCGTGTAAGAGCCGAACAGAAGTGATGAGTTCCAAGAAAAGGGAACATGCCTGTGTTTACACTCCCATCTTGGCTGATCAAATAGAGAAGCCTCTGGCTGAAGCCTTAAAAAATTCATTCTTTGTGCCTCTCTGCTATGAGGTCTGTATAATTTTTTTCTCTGAAGTTATGGAAATTTTGTCTAGGACACTGTATTATTTTTAGTGAATATTTAAAGTGTGCATTATATTTTGAGTACCAAATATTTTAATTTTTTTTCCTCAACTACTTGCTGGTACTCTCTTAGATGTTACTATATATAGCCCATGCGTATAGTACCAAAAGAGAAAACACAACCAATATTCTAATTTTACCATGTTCAAGTGTTCTTTTCATTACTGTCAGCTCAGAGAGGGGAAACTTTATTTCCCTCTTTTCCCACAGTCTTCTTCAACAATAATTTGTCTGTGGTCCTCTTCAAGCATTTTTTTGCATCATCTTTTGACCACTATTAAATTTATTAACACCTTTCTCAGAACTTATTGCTTCATGCTGTCCAAATAATTACCACTTTCTTATCAATACCCATCATTTCTGATATTTTAATTTCAATGAATGTATCTTATCTCTCTAATAATTTTCCAGGCAAACCTGCTTTCACAATTACTGCCTTAAAGGAAAGCTGCCACATTATGTGCAGTCAACAAGTCATTTCTATTTTCTTTTTCTTTGTCTTTTTTACTTACTGCAATATTGAGACATTTTAATAATGCTATTGGAGTTACAGCATCTTCCATACCTACGCAGGTACCTTTTTTCCCTCACTGTAATTCTAATGGCTCTGTCTGAGACCCTATTCTCTTCTCCATATCAAGAATATATTTTCATGAAGGAGTTTTAAATGGGTTGGTTCCCTGACTCTAGTTTGATAACTGCCTTCCCCTCTACCTAATAATTAAAATGCACAGAGACATATTCTAGTAGAAGAAGACTTTTGGAAGAAATAGTGTGTGGGGGGAGCTTCAATGAAAAGTTCAAGGAAACTTTTGACAAGGAAAAGATTTTATATGGGAAGGAATTAATTCTCATGCAGGTTGCTCTGTATGTTCTCTTTATATGTCTGTAGAGGTAACTCCCTTACTACAAGTGATAAAATTCTCACAGACATGCCTGAAGGCCCCCTTAGGGCAGCCAGGCAGGCCATAAAGCAGAGGGGGAGAACTCAGCCTGGGGTTTTATTGTGCACGTGAAAGGTGTTGTTATAAAAGCACAAAACCAGGTTTCCGCCTTTGCCTTCTCTGCCAGATACATTGCAGCATTCTTTAGCCATGACCTAGTGCCTGGGGTTACCTGCGTGCATATCAAGCCTTACATATATATAAAAAAATTACATGTCAAAATAACCTTCAATCACCCTGCCCATTAAGAAAAAAAAAAGATATTCGTTAAGTGAAATTAAATATACACTTTTTTTTTAAACCACAAGAGGATGACAACAGCGCCTGATATGTTTGCAGAAAAAAGTTAAAACTAGCTGTTTAACCTCTTAGAGAAAAACGTATTTCATTAAAAAAAAAGTAAAAATGACAAAAGTATCCAAGATGATAATTTAACTTTTAGATAAATAATAATGTCTTGATATAAGTAAAAAATGTACTGCATACCATATTAATGTTTGCTGCACATCAGAAGACAGAAATTATCCTCATATCTGTGTAGCATTTTCTGAATCTACTCAGAAATACTGTTTAACTTAAGTTAGGTGATATTTCCTAGCTCCTTTTATGATAAAAACTGCAATCGTCTATACTTAAGGTATGCCCAAAAGGGAGTCTGGTTTTGAATTTACTGTTCCCTGAAGATCAGTAAACCTTTTCCTTCTCCAGTGTTTGATGGGTATCAAGACCTTACCAGTCTCACTGTCCATCCAATCAGCCTCTCTCTTTTCAGTTTGATCTTTTGGCTGAGTTTCTCAAAATGCTCTATGGTAATTCTTTTGGAATATAATGACTGGTGATGATTAGGAAAAAAAAAAAAAGCATTATATTGCAGGCTGCCCTAACAGATAATATGACCAACAAAGTATTCAAGCTACAAAAGTTACTTTGCTTTCCACTGGAATTCTAATGAAGTGGAAAATGCCTTACTGACCCCACATGCCAAGGGCTCCAAAACACCAGAGATCCCTGAATTCCCCTGAATGTGTTAGAGTGCTGGGACATTGTAACTGTTGTTTAAATTTTTGTTGTCTTTATTTATTTTTTTTTCAGTAATAAAAGCAAAGAGGTAAGTTCAGAGTAAGAGTGAAAACTGAGATACTTAACAGCTTTTTGTTAACTAGCCATTGTTTTCTTCCCATTTTTTGAGACAGCAACAATTCTGTACCGCTGTCAACAACTGATGTTATAGAAACCATTATGAAAATGCCCAAATGCAAGTGTTATCTTCAATTATTGTAGCTTTGTTTATACTCACCCATATAGTTTTTACTATTGTTATTAGTAGTATTTGTTATGATTTGTGGACCCTCTCATTGAGAAAACAGAAAACAAAATAGTAGCACTACCTCCCTTGTGAGAGTTGCACTCAGAACAATTCCATAGTAACAAAGTTGGACCAGAGACAGGATACTGAGAAATATTTTGACTAACTGAACATGTGGTGTAAGGGAGGTAAAATCTCCTTAAAATGAAATCACCATTATATAATAATTGTGATACACAGCACTTGTGTACTTAATTAACTTTACAGTGTACCCCGAATATTTTTACTCATACTTTGTTTAAATAGTTTTCAAAACGATATGTTGATCTTTTTGAGGAGGTGTGTCTGCTGTCCATTCTTCCTATGGTCTCTAGCAACTAGAATCTCACAATTTCAGCCTCATTCCAAACTTCAAGCTGCCTGTAGGTTGGCTTCTTTAAAAGAAACTGTGGGAAGACCAGATTTCTCAAAACACAAAGATCTATCCCTTTATGCCAGAGATCCAATCCCTGGATACACAGCTGTAGAGAATAGCAGCAGATGTGTTCATGATGCATTTTACAAGAAACCACCCCTATTCAAGGAATGTTGTTCTCTTTTTTAAAGATGTAACAGTTACCTCTAGTAATATGAGACTGCCAATGCATGAACTTGGAGATAGTCAGATTCTGTTTGCTCCAAGTTCTGCTGCTGTCATGCTTCATAACCTTGTGCAAATAATAATTTTTTATGCCTTCATTTGCCAATAGGCAAAAAAACCCCAAACACCAAAACCCCATGCATTTTTGGAATTTTTGAACCTTGATGGATTCTTTCTAATTCTGTCAAGCATAACAATCCCATTCCTCCTTTTGTAGTAAAATTGATAAGATGCAATCTGAAGAAAATTATATATATATATATATATTTATATTTATTTATTTATGCATCAAATAGATTTTGAAAAGATTAGGTGTGTTCTTTCTTTGACAAAACACTTCAGTTCCCTTTGACTTTAGAATATAAAAACAGTAAGGTACTCTCTAGAGAAAATCTACCAAGAATTCTTCTCTTAGAATAATGCACAGATACTACACAATTAAATATAGTTCAAATGAGAATTAGAATTAAAACTCAAGCAACCCCAACTTTTCTTTTTCTTACCTGCTGGTTTACGGGAAAATTCCTGTTGATTTTTTTAATCTATAAAAATGAATAAAGAAATAGATTAATACTCAGTCACTAGAAGAAAAACCAAAACCAAAACACTGCATTTTTGAGACATATATCAGACACTCCCTTCCAATTTATGTATGTACAAAAGAAAATAAAATCTCCTGCAGTAAAGGGACTGAAATTTTTTACAAGCTTATGTGAATAATGGGACATTTCTGGTCTCATTTTGTTGTTCAGTCTGATGTTCAGAGTACAGGAGAGGAGACTATGTGCAAAAGAATTACTGGATTCTACAGGAGAGGTAAATACATGCTAAATTATACCTCAGTTCTACAACACTATGTCTTTTTCTTTTTTTCAGATTAGAAGCTATAAAATAAACTGGAGTATTTAACTGTAAATGAAAGTAATTCAGAGCAGCTTACTGCTAACCACTAAAGTCATCAAGCTTTAAGCAATTTTTTTTCCTTAAAGAATGATGAAAGTTTGGGCTGGAACAGCCTTGGAAATATCACTTACTCTACCGTTTTATCCTATGTGCAAAATCAAGTATGTAGTTTCAGTTGCAATAATTGTTCAAGTAATTCCTTCTTAAACATTCAACATTCAACACCAGCCCCAGGTAAAAAGAGATACCTGATTCATGAGGAGTTTGTATTTAGCCCTGCAGTTCATGGACTCCCTCTAAATAAACACTGCCAGCTTTCTGACAGAGAAGTGTCCAGTACAAAGAAAATTATGTGTGGAACATATCCTTCTACCATTACTAACTTCTACCATTACTAAAACAAATGTGTTCTTCTTTGGTTTATACATAAACCCTGAAAGCTTTTGACTAAACCTAGTAAATCTACAGTGTGCATTCATGACAGACACTTAACATCTAGAATTTATTTTTTGCTGTCTTATGTTAATTTTTCACAAGTTTTTTTTTTTTTATTTATTTATTTTTAGCTATAGGTAAATGACTAGAACACGTATTTAAAGACATTATCAAATAGAAATCTATATAGAATGTACCTGAAAAATCCACAAAGCCCTGAAACCACAGCATAACATTTACACTGCTTCAACCAAGGTGCAACATCTTTTTAGAAGAAAAGATGAATCATCACTGCATTTCCTCCAGTGTTTACAATATCATCCCTAAACAACTATATGCAGAGATGTGAATGATACTGTTTTTTGCAGACTTCAAAACCACACTAAGTTTGCTGCAGTGGTAAGTTCTTTGCATTTCTCATGCAAATACTGAGCAAGTCTGCCACTGACATCCCACAGTTTTGCTATCAAAGGATAATTCTCACTGTCAAGAACATCCTGGCAAGCAATTTCAGTTGGTTTTCAAACGGATCCTAAATAAAAAGTGTCAGAAGTACATTTCCATCCTTCCTTCTTGCATTTACATCAGCTTCCTCCATTCTTCAATGTTAGTTAAGGTGAAGCACTAGAGGAGCTAGGACATTCAGTGGGCAAACAAATAGTATAAAATTATTCTATAGTTTATAAGATACCAACTATCTCACATGACTTTTTAAAAGAAAAGGCAGATGAAACCCCCTTTTTTTAACAGGAAAAAAAAAATTATTGGGATTTATCCCTAAATCAAACACTAACTACTCCAGCATGATAAATCCCTGTTTGCAAGAGTAAAAACTATTAAAATCCTTGTCAAAACTGTTTATTTTCGTCTAGTTTAAGCAAAGACAAACACCCTGAAAATTATAAGTTATGAAAGAACATTGTCAAAAGATTTTACTATTCTAAACAAAATACTGAAAATATCTATTTAGCAGCAAATTACAGTAACATATTAAATAATTCAGGAGTATTTTTGTTTACTTCACACATAGAGACTAATTTTTTAAAACAAATATAAAGCACATTAGGAGCCTTGTGTACTTTGAATGTTCCTATGAAATGTAAATGCATAATTGGAACACCATTTTCTCATTCAAAAATTTTCAACTAATTTTCTAAAGTACAATCTAGGCATCTACAGTACATAGTTGTCTTAACTGTTGTTACTTTGATTAATTAAAACAACTATCTTTATGTTTCAGATAATATGGTGATGATTTCCTGAAATGCATTATTTTTCATTCTGTTATAGTTTGCAAACTCCAGTATAGTTGTTGAAGTCTACTCAGAGCTGAGAATTGTTAAGTGCAATTATTTTTTGGAACACCAAAAGTTCTGTCATTCACATGTATAAATATGGGTATAAATATAAATACAGGAAAAAAAAAGTTGTATAGTTAGGCAGCACACAGAAAGAAAAACAGTAGCCAACAGTGCTCTTCCCAGAATGTTACAATGAACATTGAGTAAAATTTAATCTATGAATGATCCAGATCTATAATCCTTAAGGATTAAAACATAAATTTAAACATTTTTCATAAATTAAAAGAGAAATGTTTCTTTGGTTAACTGACACACATGAATAATATTAGTTTTTCATCAGAGGACATGAGTAGAATACACTGCAAACATATGTATGTAATATTTATAAATAAAATTCACTGACAGATACTACACTAAAAAAAATAGTTAAAAATGGTAAGCACTCTGAGAATATTCTTAATATTCTTTAGAAATATGTGTTTAGATGTGTTTCTCCAGAGTAGTTAAAAATCAGGAATAGCACAAGAGGAAACAAAAGAAGAAGCTAGAAAATAAATTCTCTTCTGAAGCAAAGATAGAGGAAGCATTAATTAAGCTGCAAGAACTACCTGCTTCTACTTCATGATCAAAAAACAGGTGCTGAGGGGTGATGCTCTATTCTGGTTCGACTTCCATAAATGCAAACTAGGAAAAAAAAATCTTAAAATACCATAGAGAAAGTAATTTGGGATCCGGTGATCATCTTAACACGGAAAGAAGAAGAAGGTGTCAAAAATAAGGTCTCTGCAGTATCTTGCATCTGACTACCAAATAGGCAAGTGATGTTGATACAAGACCAATAATGGAATCATAGAATCTCAGAATTGTTCAGATTGGAAAATACAGTAAAGATCACCTAGGTCTAACCCTCCTACCATGGGCAGGGACACATTTCACTAGACCAGGTTGTTTAGAGCTTCATCCAACACTTCCAGGGATGGGAAACATATTTTAGTGAAAGATACCACAGAAGATTGGTTTGAAGCATAAATGATTGTTAACAGTACAAATAGATTTGAATAGATATGTTCCAAAAACTCAGCTGGCCAATATGTTTGGACATCATAGACACGAAAAATTAGAATGCTGGCAGGGAGATGAAAAGAAGTGGAACATAGAGAGGACCATGGCCAAATTCAGTAATTTTTGTTCACTAGATGTTGCAATCACAGATGAACAGTTTTCACAGTGATGGCGGTGCTTGTTCCACAGAAGAAATAAACAAGAACATCCCTTCTCAGCAGGTATTCAAATGAGCAGGTTTTGGCTTTTGTTGAGCACAGCAATTGCAAATGTTTAGGGTTTTTAATTTTTATTATTTGAAAGCTTTTATGACAGAGAAGCAGGAATGCAGAAGAATACCGTTTCACACTATTATCTTTCTTTGTGAATTGTGGCCTATTACTGTTGCCCTCTGCTGGAATGCAGTTGATTAAACTCATAAAAGCTGGGTTTTAAACTTCCACATTCAGTTAAAACTGAACTGAATTGTTCATTCCTCTGAGAGATACTATTTCAGACCTTCTTTCAGCAAATAGCACTGCAATAACTATTTTCAGTTTCCACAGGAGGATTTTAAAGTGTAATTTTAAAACTACTATTTATTGGGGATTTGTATGACCTTTTTTACCTATTTATATTAATGAAATTTGCTATTCCAATGTAATCACAGGATTCTCATGAGATGATGAGGAAATGTGCCTTTCAACAAGCACTAAGGACACTTAAGAGTAGTAAGATCAAGGGATAAGAGCACTGATTCCAGGGTTTTCCAATCTGAAAAAACTGAAATAGAAGCAATCAGATGTTTGACAACTCCATGTATACCATGCTTGCTTCAATCCTATTTACTGATAAACTGTATTGTAAATGAGACTCACAGTTCTAATGTGATAAGATGATTAATGACCATGTGAGTCTCAGGTATCACAACTGGTCCTCTGCAAGAAACAATAATATAGTAGGTGTTAGTTGTTAGGACAGAGCTCCTGAAAGACACCATTTCCTTGTAGTACCTACGCGAACAGCCAAGACTGAAGAGCAACATATGAAATGAGTGGGGACCAGTTCCTGTTCAGTATTTTGCTGACTTAGGCAGTAAACAAGATTATTCCAAATTTTCACATATGATTTGATCCATCATTTTCTTGCAGTCTGTAGATATCATGTAACTTTTCAGGTCTCAGAATTTTTTCACTTAAAAAAGAACCCTTTATTATTTTATTTTATGCTAGTCAAATATTTACGGATTTCCCCAAACAATTTAGACTCTACAGCCTTCTTCATGAATTGCTTGCATTACACAGTTGCTGATTTACATTCATTAGCAGCTAATTAAAATATAATAACTTGTCAAGACTGTAAATTCGGTAGCTAGTTCTTCATCTCATGCATTAAAGCAACAATACAGTTTGTGCCATTGGGATATTAAGTGATCACAAACAGGAAGCAGGATCACTACAATTTGGAAGAAAACATGAATCCATGCTGTGATAATCTTGTGTTAATGAATAAGAGAGACTACAAGACTAACACTGGAAACTACTAGTTGGCTACTCTTATTTTCTGTCCTTGCTAGGCTTGTGTTTGCTTGATGCAATAGGTAAGTCATGGTAAAGTTTTGAAATTTTATTATCTAAGAGTATATGTGTATTGAAAGAAGCAGGGAATCAGAGAAGAAGCATGCAACAATTCACACAAAAAGCATCATATATTGGTGAATGCATTCAAATATAACAGCCTATTGATTAAATATAGGAATTCTTGACGCAGACTTTACGAGCTGTAGTAGGTTTTACAGTTTAGGTTAAAAACTCATATAAGCTACCATATGCAAAGTTATCAGTCTGTGTGTTCTGGAAAAT